CCATCCTCCCTGGGGGGTGATTTCTCTCTTTCTGTCTCTCTGTCTCTGTCTGTCTGGCGAGCGCACGTGCCCTATAGCAAAAACCTCTCCCAAAGAAAAGCTTAAAAAAAAAAAAGTGAATGGACCCATCTCTGCTGTTTTTATTGATCTGCAACAAACATTTAAAGTCAAATTCATCTGCTTGCCAGGCTGACAGAGCTGGCTACAGTCACTGTATCCGTTCCGAAATTCAAGCTCTCCACTCAGTGGGTTCTTGGCTGACTTGAGCAAAGAAAACGATAACAAAAAATGCAGCAAAGTAACCATTTCCTTTCTCTCCAAGGTCACTTTAACAGTGGGTTTGAAGCTTCCTTTCCTTCCAGGAGAGAAGGAAAGAATACCCTTCAGGGCAAACTATAGGCCTCGGGCCAGCTATGCCTCGCTTCCCAGAACAAAAGCTTCCGGAACAGAAGTGTCCACCCCAGGGGCCAGCAGGGGGCGTGGTGGTCAAGGGCACTGGACTCCCACATGGCCGACCAGCGCTCGAGTCCAAGACCTGGCGGCTCTGCTTTCTCCCTTTCCCTCTCTCTCTCTCTCTCCTGCTCTGCTCAAGTTAAAATAAAATATGTAAAGTTAACTAAAATAATTCTTTTTAAAAAATAAAAAGAAGTGCCTACCCCAAAGATTCTCAGAAGCTACATGACAGGCTACACCTGTGCTCATGATCTGGGGCTGGCTAAGGCTGGGTGTGGATTATGGCATCAAGACCCTCTTGGAGTGCGGTCTCTGTCTCTCTCTCTCTCTCTGTTCTACTCTCTCCCCGTCCATCTACAACAAACAAATATACTTTTAAAAATACATATACAGGGGGACCAGCAGATTATATAATGGCTATGTCGCTGGATTCCCATGCAGTCAACCACACGGTTTGAGTCCCGGACCCGGTGGCTTAAACTCAACGCTGCGTGCGTGTGCATGCATGCCCAAGATCTCGAGAGGAGAATGGAGGAGAAAGGATTGCGGCATGACCATCCCCCCTGGGGGATGATTTCTCCCTTTCTGTCTCTATGTCTCTCTCTGTCTGTCTGGCGAGCGCACGCACCCTATAGCAAAAACCTCTCTCCCCCGGCTCGAGCGCGCCGCGTGACCATGGGGGGGCCCCTGCCATGTTCGGGGCAGAGGTCTCGGAGGGTGCATGTCCTGTCACCAGCTATTCTCTATCTTGTAGAAGAAGGACAAATCTGAAATCAGAAGTCAAAACATAGAAATTTTCAAAAAGCTAGGTTGTCCGGTTTGGTTTTTAAAACACACACACACACACACACAGGGGCCAGCAGGTGACATGGTGATTAAAGCACTAGACTGCCACATAGCCAACTGTAGTTGGAGTCCCAGACCCAGTGGCTTAAAGAGGACGCCAGGCAGTTGTGGGTAGATGCCCAGAGTCCCGGGAAGATGATGAAAGAGAAAGGATTAAAGTATGATCATCCCCCCTGGGGGGGTGATTTCTCACCTTCACTCTGTCTCTCTCTCTCTCCCTCCCTCTGGCACGTGCACACGCCTAATGGCAAAAACAAACAAACAAAATATATCTGAAAAGTAAAATTAGAGGGTGAATAGGTGGTGTAGTGGTTAAAGTACTAGAACCACATGTGACTGACTGCAGTTTGAGACCCAGATCCGGAGGCCTGAAACTCACATCGGGTATGTGTGCGTGTGTGCCCACAATCCCAAGCAGAGAATAAAGGAAAGGGGATGATAGTGTGGCCATCCCCCCGGTGGTGATTTCGCTGTCTCTCTGGCAAGTGCACGTACCCTATAGCAAAGATCTCTCTTAAAGGGGCCAGCAGGTGGCATGATTCTTAAGGCGTTAGACTCCCACCTGGCTGACCATAGTTCGAGTCCCAGACCTGGCAGTTTGCTTTCTCTTTCTGTCTCTCTCTCTCTCTCATCAAACTGAAGAAGAATAAATAAAATTAAATAATTCTGGGGACCAGCAGTTAGTGTAATGGCTATGTCGCTGGACTCCCACGTAGTCGACCGTGGTTCGAGTCCCGGACCCGGTGGCTTAAACTCACGCCGGGCGCATGTGTGTGCGTGCCCAAGATCCCGAGAGGAGAATGGAGGAGAAAGGATTGCAGTGTGGCCATCCCCCCTGGGGGGGGATTTCTCGCTTTCTGTCTCTATGTCTCTCTCTTGTCTGTCTGGCAAGCGCACACGCCCTGTAACGAAAACCTCTCCAAAATAAATAAATAAATAAATAATTCTTTAAGAAATTAAAAAAAAAAAAAACTCTCTTAAAGCAAAGTAAAACTAAACTGACTGCATTTTGCAAAATGCCATGTGGATCTTAACATCCTGCATCTTTCGGCCTGAATGTGGGCTTTTCTCCAGGGTGAGATACTTTGAGAGGTCAAACCATATTAGAAAAACTTTATTCTGGAAAGACCAGCAGTTGGCGTACATCACTGGACTCCCACGTGGTTGACCATGGTTCATGTCCCGGACCCGGTGGCTTGAAACTCACGCCGGGCACGTGTGCGTGCATGACCAAGATCCCTAAGAGGAGAATGGAGAAGGGATTGCGGCGTGGCCATCCCCCCTGGGGGTGATTTCTCGCTTTCTGTCTCTCTCTGTCTCTGTCTCTGTCTGTCTGGCGAGCGCATGCGCTCTATAGCAAAAACCTCTCCTAAAAAAAAAAAAAAAAAAAAAAAACCCCCCCTTCCACTATATGAGGACCTGGTCCCTAGAACAGTTCAATTCAAGGCGACAGAAAATAAAACGGTGGCTGTCAGGGGCTGGAATGGGGAGTCAGCGTTGAATGGGACAGAGTTGTTTCTGTTTTGTTTGTTTGCTTAGGTTTTTGTTTGTTTTGTTTTATTTACGAGATAAGCACTCTCCAGAGAGACAGAGAAATGCCCCCCAGGGCGGAGGATGACCGCAGTCCCTTCTCCTCCACTCTCCTCTAAGGATTTTAGGTAAGCACGCGCACACGCTAGGCTCCTCCATTCTCCTGGGACTGCAGGCAAGCGCGTCTCTATCTGCAGCATTTTCAGGCCACTGATCTGAAACTCAAACCGCGCATGTGCGTGAAATCCAGCGACTCGACCACCACGCCACCTGCTGGCCGCAGAGTTTCCGGTTTGTTTGTTTTTTTTTAATTAAAATTTATTGTTACAGCTTTTGAAGGTAAGTTTTAGTGTGAGACTATGCAGGAATCTACTAACCGACACTGATAAAGTTTCAACTTTTTTTTTTTTTTTTTGGAGAGATTTTCGCTATAGGGCGCATGCGCTCGCCAGGCAGAGAGAGACATAGAGACAGAAAGCGAGAAATCACCCCCCAGGGAGGATGGCCACGCCACAATCCCTTCTCCTCCATTCTCCTCTTGGGATCTTGGGCACGCACGCACACACGCGCCCAGCGTGAGTTTTAAGCCACCGGGTCTGGGACGCGAACTGCGGTCGACTACGTGGGAGTCCAGTGACATAGCCATTACGCTAATTGCTGGTTCCCGTGTTTCCCTTTTGAAAGATGAAAACAAAAGGAGAGGAACGCTGGGGATGTTGGTACAAGGGTGTGAATGCACTTCCTGCTGTTAAACTGCACACCTAAAAATGGTTAAGATGGTAAAGTTCCAGGGTATTTTGTCACAACTTTTAAAATTACGAAAATGGGGGGAGGGGGGGAGCAGCAGATGGCGTAATGGTTGCATCACTGGACTCCCTTGTAGTCGAGCACAGTTCAAGTCCTGGACCCAGCGACTTAAAACTCATGCCTGGCTTGTGTTCCTGCGTGCCCAAGATTCCCAAGAGAAAAATGGAGAAGCGATGGCCATGTGGCCATCCCCCCAGGAGGTGATTTCTCCCTTTCTGTCTCTCCCTGTCTCTCCGATGAGTGCACGCACCCTATAGCAAAAATCTGTCTAAAAAAAAAAATGTTTAACGAAAAAAAAAAAAAATGAAGAGAATGGAAGAATTTTTTTTAAATGTCTGCACCTGCTACTTTGCATTTGAGGATGAGCATAGCACGGTTGCTAGGAATGAAGACTTGGCGTCTTGATTTCTGTCTGGTCTGCACGAAGGAGCTGGGGAGGCATTTGGAAAAGTGTCCCTACATCTCCGAGGCTCACCTACAGCAAGAGGAATAACTGTCCTACCTCGTTGGGCTGTGAGGATAAGAGAGTGAGGTGCCCCACTGTCCCTAAGCACAGAAATAAGCACCTGCTATTCTTATTACGAATTTTAAAAACGCAGTGGTTTATTATTCAGTGATCCGTACTACAAGTCAGCAACAATGAAATGATCATTAAATGAGCAATAGCATTATCAACTACTGAGAGATCGGTAAGTGCGTCAGAAGACTTTTAAGGGGAAAAGAGACCCAAGTTAGGAGTCTGGAGACTTCTGCTTCCAGACTGGCTGTGGGTGTTAAGATTTCTCCTCGGTGACAAGCAATGGTTGGCGGAGATGACCTCTTAAGATTAACAGAGAACGAGATCAGCCTGGCTGCTGCGCAGAAGCCAGTCCTTGCACCTCCCTCACGACCTAAGCTTCTCGGGGACGTCCCGGGCGAGGGAAGGGGTCCAAAAGTTGTTCAAGATCGGAATGATTGCAAAGCCCCTTCTTAAGCCCGAGGCGGCGACACGGCGGAAGGCTTGTGCAAGACACCTTCGGATCGGGAACAAGGGTACCGCACCCTCGTTGCTCCCCTGACCAAGTCTGCAATTCAGCCCGCTGGAGAAGCTGCAAGGGACCTGCAAGCTCCCCAGATCCTACAGAGACCCCAAGAAAAAAGGCACCCCCAAAACAGCCTGGGTTGCAAATTTATAAATACCTCCCATCGCACATGCGCACTAGGATTTACGAGTGGCTCCCGGGCGCAGCGCGCGCCCACTGCGCCTGCGCCAACAGGCTCTCCCTTCGGGGTATAGGACGAGACAGAGGGTCCCATGGTCCCGCGAAGAAGAAAGAAGACTGGGTCTAAGGTGGCCGATGGGGTCCTGTTTGCTCGTTTCTTACCTCATAGTGCTTCATGGTTCCTTCACACGGCGGCTGCGATGTCTGCTCCTCTGCTGCGGTTGCTGCCTCCCTGCGCGCGACACGGTACTTCGCCCCTCGCGCGCCCGCGACCGCCGCGCTAGACTAACCCGGGATCCGCCCGCGCCCCGCCCCTCTCTGCCGCGCGCATCCCGTCAGCCAATCAGCGCTCTGGGCGCCCACCTTCGCCCCCTCCCCGCGGAGCGAGGACTAGCAGCTCGCACCACAGGGCTGGCCAATCAACGTGCAGGACTCACGGAGGTGGGGCGGAGCCCTCGTGGGAGGGGCTAAACGAAGGGGCTTGGTCACCCACCAATCAAAAGGGGTTGTCGGCGCTGCGCGCCCCCTTGCCCCGCCTCTTAGTGGCGTCGCTGTGGAAACCTAGGGAAGCGAGGGATACCGCCAGGCGGGGGGCGGGAGTAAGAAGTTGAGTGACAGGAAAGGCAGCGTCCCCACGGCGGGCGGTGCAGATGGATGAATTCCTAGGTGGGCGGGCCCTGGGTATTGGCGAGCCGGGAGAGGGCCGGTGGCGACTGCTGGGGGACTTGAATGGTGAGACCGCTCCAGCGTGGGGACTTCAGCTGTCATGAGCAGGAGGGGAAGACTGCGATCCCCCAATCCGAGCCCCAAGCCCATTCTGGGGATGTCGTCATTGCCCATTTCAATGATCTCAACCCCCTCACCCGTTCTACCTTCCTCTGCTAAATGGGCAAAGGACCACGTTTGTCTCCACTTTGTCCTTGAGATGTGGGTGGTCTAAATTGAGACGTGCTGTAAATGTAAGACACCCCTATTACAAAGAAAGTAGGGAGTCAGCAGGAGGCATAGGGGTTAAAGCACTGGAGCCCGCATGAGTGACTTCTCAGTTCCAGTCCAGGACCCAGCAGCTTGAAAAACACTCCATGAGGATGTACATGCATGCCCCCAATCCAGAAAGAATGGAGAAGGGATTGTGGCATGGTCATCTGTTCTATGGGATGATTTTTTACTTTCTGTCTCTCTGGTGAGTCCATGTTCCTATAGCAGAAAGAACTCTTAAAAAAAAAAAAAAGGAAAGCAAGCCCGGAGTGTGTGCATGACGCCCAAAATCCTGACAGTGACAAGGAGGTAAAGGAGAAGAGATTGCACCATGGCCAAACCCAGGCAGTGCTTTCTCATTTTCCTTCTCTCTGTCAATTTCTAACAAGCACACATGCTCTATAGCAAATTTTTTTTAAAGAATTGTTTTATTGGGAACTAGCAGTTAGCGTAATGGCTATGTCGCTGGACTCCCATGTAGTCGACCACGGTTCGAGTCCCGGACCCGGTGGCTTAAAGCTCACACCGGGCACATTTGCGTGCGTGCCCAAGATCCCGAGAAGAGAATGGAGGGGCAGGGATTACAGTGTGACCATCCCCCCTGGGGGTGATTTCTCGCTTTCTGTCTCTCTGTCTCTGTCTGTCTGGCGAGTGCACGCGCCCTATAGCAAAAATCTCTCAAAAAAAAAAAAAAGAATTATTTTATTTATTTGTTTATTTTTTAATTTGACCAGAGAAGGACAGAGTTAGAAAGAGAGAAGGAAAGTGAGAAAGCAAGCAGCCCAGTTCGGGATTTGAACTGTGGTCAACCATGTGGGAGTCCAGCACCTTAACCACCACGCCGCCTGCCGGCCCCTGTAACAAAAATAATTTTTTTAAAGAATTATTTTATTCAACTTTATTTATTTATACATTTTTTCACTTTAATTTGACGAGAGAGAGAGAGAGAGAAAGTGAGAAAGCAAGCCATCAAGTTCAGGACTCGAACCGTAGTCGCCCATGTGGGAATCCAACGCCTTTAACCATCACGCCATCTGCTGGCCCCCCATAGCAAAATTTTTTAAGGAATATGTTTTAGTTATCCTGTTTCTTTTTGCCTTTCTTTTTTAGATTTTGCCAGAGGACATGTACACTCAACTCACCAGAGGAAAAAGAGAAAGTGAGAAAGCTTGCCCTGGGGGATGGTCAAATCTCAATCCCTTCGCCATTTTTCTCTCCCTTTGGGACTTTGTGCGTGCGCACACACACATGCCTGGCATGTTTCTCGAGCCACCGTGGCTAGGACTTGTACCACGCAGTCTCCCATGTGGCATCTAGCCACCTTAACCACCATGCCACACACTCGCTCTCTTTTTGCCTTTTTTGTTTTTTGGTTTTTCAGAGAGGTTTTTGCTATAGGGTGCGTGTACTCCCTAGAAAGACACAGAGAGACAGAGAGACAGAGAGACAGAAAGCGAGAAATCACCCCCAGGGGGATGGCCACGCCACAATCCCTTCTCCTCCATTCTCCTCTCGGGATCTTGGGCACGCACGCACACGCACCCGGCGTGAGTTTAAGCCACCGGGTCCAGGACTCGAACCGCGGTCGACTACATGGGAGTCCAGTGACATAGCCATTACGCTAACCACTGGTCCCAATAAATAATTTTTTTTTTTAAATACGAAGTGCTTCGCACATGCGCGTGTCATCCTTGCTCAGGGGCCAAGCTAACCTTCTCGGTGTCGTTTCAATTTTAGCATATGCGCTGCCGAAGTCTTCATCAGCTAATAAACCACCCGGAATTCAGAGGCCCAGTGATGATCCCTGATTCACAGAGGAGCCTACCGGGAAAAGGGTGAGTCAGTGCTTCCAGACAGATCATCAGGTTCAGCTCTGAAACGTGAGTCCTCGGAAATCCCTGTGTCTGGTAAAGAGAGCCAAAGCTGGAGCGGAGGCCACCTGGGGGAGCTGGTGAGCACACAGAGGTGTTGTGTAACTGCGCTGTCAAAACCTAAGCTCAGGAGGCCGGCAGGTGGCCTGGACTCCCATGTGGCCAACTGTGGTTCGAGTCCCAGACCTGGCAGCTTGCTTTCTCACTTATCCTCTCTCTCTCTCCCTCTCTCTCTCTCTCTCTCTCTCTCTTTCACACTCTGTCCTGCTCTGGTCACATTAAAATAAATAAATAGAGAGGATCAGCAGTTAGCGTCATGGCTATGTCGCTGGACTCCCACGGAGTCGACCCCAAGGAGAAGGGATTGCGGCGTGGCCATCCCCCCTGGGGGGTGATTTCTCACTTCCTCTCTCTCTGCCTTTCTTGGGAGCGCACGTGCCCTATAGCAAAAACCTCTCAAAATAAATAAATAAATAAATAAAAATAAAAATAAAGAGATAAGAAATGACAAATCTGTTTAAAAAGAAAAAAAACGCTAAGGTCGGACCAGCAGATGGCGTAAAGGTGAAGGAATTGCAGTGTGGCCATCCCCTCTGGGAGGTGATTTCTCACTTTCTGTCTCTCTGTCTCCCTCTGTCTTTCTGGTGAGTGCATTCGCTCTATAGCAAAAAACTCTCCAAAAAGAAAAAAAAAATATATATATATATATAAAAAATATATATATATATGCTCCCGAAAGCTATGAGGTCTTTTCCTGTTAGCACTGGTGTGTGTCTCAACAGATCTCACTCCCTTCCCTTATTAGAGGGTGGGAGGGAGATGATGGACAAGAGAATATTTACTCAGCGACCACAACTTAAAATGCATTCAAATTGGGGGGATCAGCAGGTGGTGTGATGGTTAAGACGCAGGACTCTCCCACATGGTTGACCACAGTTTGAGTCCCGGACATGGTGGCTTGCTTTCTCACTTTCTTTCTTTCTCTCTGTGTGTGTGTGTCTCTCTCTCTCCAGTCAAATTAAAAATAAATGAATGAATAAAGTTAAATAAATACAAAAACGTAGTTTTAAAAAATCCTATCAAATTGGGCCAGCCCATGGTGTGGGGGTTGGGGCAGCTGGATCCCACATGTGGCTGACTACACGATTCAAGTCCCCAGACCCAACAGCTTGACAATCACACCGGGGGCTGGACACTCCCACATAGCGGACCCTAGTATGAGTCCCATGCATGGTAACTTGCTTTCTCACTTTCTCTCTCTCTCGCTCTCTCTCTCTCTCTCTGTCTCTCTCTGGTCAAATTTAAATAAATGAATAAAAAATGAAAAAAGAGGGAACCAGCACTTAGCGTAATGGCTATGTCGTTGGACTCCCACGTAGTTGACCGCAGTTTGTGTCCCGGACCCGGTGGGTTAAACTCACGCCGGGCGCGTGTGCGTGTGTGCCCAAGATCCCGAGAGGAGAATGGAGGAGAAGGGATTGCGGCGTGGCCATCCCCCCTGGGGGGTGATTTCTCACTTTCTGTCTCTCTGTCTCTCTCTGTCTGTCTGGCGAGCGCACGCACCCTATAGCGAAAACCTCTCCAAAACGAAAGAAAAGAAAAATGGAAAAAGAGAATTAAAAAGAGAATTAAATAATTATTTTTTTATTTCAAAATATTTATTTATCTTTATTTGTTATTATTATTTTTATTGTTTTAATTTGACCAGAGAGAGACAGAGAGAGAGAAAGGGGAAAGAGAGAAAGCAAGCTGCCGGGTCCAGGACTTGAACCAAAGCCAGCCATGTGGGAATCCAGTGTCTTAACCACTATGCCACCTGCCTGGCCCCCAAGAATTAAATAATTCTTTAGGAAAAAAAAAGAAAGAAAAAGAAAATCACACCAGGCAGGTGTGAAGGCATGCCCTCACAATCCTAAGAGGAGAATGGAGGAGAAGGGATTGCAGCATGACCATGCACCCTGGGGGTCTCACTTTCCCTCCCACTCTGTCTCTCTTCAGCAAGCTCATGCACCTCTGGCAAAATTATTACCCAAATTACCAAGTAATATGTGCGGGGAGGAGCAGGGTGGAACCCTGAAAATCTAGCCACATGTAGGTACTTGCCGATGCTACTCACTTCCAGCTTCTCTGATGGGATCTGAGTAGGTGAGTCTTCTGCACCGTCGGGTGCCAGCTCGGTCATGGGTGATAATGTTCTCATAGCTGTCTTTTTTACAAGATTCCACACGTATTCCCACATACTCGAAACATTCTGGAAATTCTCTTTTTCTTTTTTTAAACAGGACTCATTCGTAGAATAATCATTGCTATTTCTCTTTATTTTTTATTTTTTTTGGAGAGGTTTTTCTTTTCTTTTGTTTTTTTACTATAGGGTGCGTGCACTTGCCAGACAGACAGAGAGAGACAGAGAGACAGAAAGCGAGAAATCACCCCCCAGGGGAGATCGCCACACCACAATCCCTTCTCCTCCATTCTCCTCTCGGGATCTTGGGCACGCACGCACACGCGCCCGGCGGGAGTTTTAAGCCACCGGGTCCGGGATGCGAACCACATTCGACTACGTGGGAGTCCAGCGACATAGCCATGACGCTAACTGCTGGTCCCTGCCCCAAACCTTGACAGGATGGAGACACAGAGGGGAAAGAATTGTGAAGCCATCACTGCCCATTAGGGGGTTTCCCTCTCCCCCTGTGAGTGCCTGTGGCAATGAAAAAGAAAGAAGAGTTGAATTGCTCTTTGTGTCTGTCGTGAGGAACCCCTTGTTTGTCTCATCTGGCTTCCAGTAACCAGGCTGTCAGCAGAGATCAAACCCGTACTCAGAATGAAGACTAGCTGCTTTGTTCAAGCCACTGACTGACGACACGGGTCTGACCCTGACAGTGCCTGTCTGTAGGGACAGCGAGAGCCTGGCTCTCATCCTCACGATCCCAACACAGTGGCTGATTCACCATGGTGATCTGTTTTGTCTTTTCTTTTCTTTTTGGAGGTTTTTGCTACAGGGCGCATGCGCTCGCCAGAAAGCCAGAGAGAGACAGAGACACAGAAAGTGAGAAATCTCCCTCCCCCGGGGGTATGGCCACGCCGCAATCCCTTCTCCTCCATGGATCTTGGGCCCTCACATACACGCGCCCGGCGTGAGTTTAAGCCACCGGGTCCTGGACTCGAACCGTGGTCGGCTACATGGGAGTCCAGCAACATAGCCATTACCCCAACTGCTGGCTCCTGTCTGGTGTTTTCTAAGCCACCTGCCCCTTTATTGCAGCAGTTTCCAAAGGGAGAAACTGCAGAGGGGGCTTGAGACTTGGTGTCTTGGAAGGATAATCTCAGTCCCCTGGGACCTCTGGATTGGGGACTCCAAGGTCACTGGGTGTTGAAGTTCCAGTGTGTTTGCTGGCATCTGTCTCACGAGCGTCTTATATTCCCATGTGCTGGTAAGGGAGGATCTTGACTTTTCTAGGACCTGGCTTGGCTGGTTTTGGGGTGTGTGATCAAGCAGGTTCAGGGTCGAGGAGGGATGGTGAAGTCAAGAATGGGCGAGCCAGGGCTCGTGAGCAATTTTCTGCTGCGTCAGGAGTCCTATGAGAGGTTTCCCAAGCCCTCTTCTCTTCCTTTTCCTTTTTCTTTTTTTTTTTCTAAGTGTTTGCAATAGGGCACATGAGCTCACCACACAGAGACAGAGAGGGAGAAAGAGAGGGAAAGCGAGGAAGCATCTTTTGCAGGGGCTGGCCATGAAGCAGTCCTTTCTCCTTCCACTCTCCTCTTGGGATTTTGGGCACGCACGCACACAAGCCCAGTGTGTTTTTCAAGCCACCGGGTTCGGGTCTCGAACTGAGCAACCCACCATGTCGGATCTAGCTGCCTTAACCTCCATGCCGTTTGCTAGCCCCCTACTTGTCTTGCTTGCTTGGGATTTTTTTTTCCTTTCTTTTTTCTTTTTTTTTTTTTTTTTGAGAGGATTTTGCTATAAGGCACGTGCGCTCGCCAGACAGACAGAGAGAGACAGAGAGACAGAAAGCGAGAAATCACCCCGCAGGGGTGATGGCCACGCCGCAATCCCTTCTCCTCCATTCTCCTCTCGGGATCTTGGGCACACACGCACACGCACCCGGCATGAGTTTAAGCCACCAGATCCGGGACTCAAACCGCGGTCGACTACATGGGAGTCCAGTGACATAGCCATTACGCTAACTGCTGGTCCCAAAAAGCAAGAAATCACCCCCCAGGAGGGATGGCCATGCCGCAATCCCTTCTCCTCCATTCTCTTCTCGGGATCTTGGGCACACATGCACACACGCCTGGCGTGAGTTTAAGCCACCAGGTCCGGGACTCAAACCGCGGTCGACTACATGGGAGTCCAGCAACA